CCGAGAGCATGACAAACACAAACATGAGCTATATGTCCTCGCCGTCGAGCGCGTTCGTCAATCCGATTGAGAGCGGGACAGCGGCAACGCCCATGAGCGACTTCTCGCAACAGCCACAACCACAACCACAACCGACGGTTACGCCGCTCCGCCTGCTCGCCGACCAATCCGACACGATCGACTGCCCGTTCTGCCAGCGGCGCTCCGAGACAAAGATCAAGAAAAGCCCATCGCCAGTAACATAGTATGCAACAGTCCTCCAACATTCCATATTGATCGTGGGACTACCCAAGGGAATACTAACATGAGTGGAAAAATCAAAGCGCCGTCGGCACTGCCCTGTTTTTCACAACCGTTATTGGGGCAGTTATGCCCTGTCTGTGCTCGTGCTTCTCGCATATCGACCACCACTGCGCCAACTGCGGCCGCAGGGTGACCCACAGGCCATATAGGGCGAAGGAGCCGGTGGTTTTCGGAACACCAGATCACCTGAAGGAGCCGTCCAAGTATCCGTCCGCTGTTGCCTCTCCATAATGGCCGGCAGCTAGGGGATGATCTTTGGGGAAAGAGGGCGCCGAAACAAGAAAAAGGCAATTATAAGGGTCGGATTCAATAAGCGGGAATTAAAGGTGACATTGCGGGCAAGTTTTGGATTATTAATCGGTTATTCTTTATATACCATTGAGGTGTGAGGCTTCAACTATAGATGGTTCGTTTGAACGTAGTACATGTATCGTTTGGAGTCTGATGAAGGCTCTCCTTAATTCATCCATAATACTTCAGGTCGAAGACGCTTCTACATAGCCCCCATCTCTGTCCTGGCCTTTACCCATGATTCTCCGCCCATGGATCCTTGCTCGTCCCCGTAGAATCCCAGAATTTCAAATAGTATACCAGCACTCCCGTAAGAACCACGGCGCTCCAACTTCTCGCCCAGAGCCACCTCTGCCAGTGCACTCTGTGGAGCACGTGCACAAGTCTCCGAAAGCCAAATATAGTATAGATTGGCAACCAGATTGGTGAAGTCAACATCAAAAGGTCAATACAGACCGCCAAAAATAAAGCACCACACAAGGCAGCATGGTCAAATACAGCACAAACAAAATAGACGGGAAAAAGGAGAGTAGCTAGGATCCAGCCGTTAGGCAAAATTTCCTCGAGTGGAGTGATCAGATGTAGCGCATACCACTCTACGGGAATGTAAACCCAATTCGCCGCTGATCTGAATACGTTTGCAATACCGGTCCAGAAAGATGAAGCGTCGCGCGGTGTTTGGCGGTTGCCTTGTATTATGGGGTGGCGACCCAGAAAGCGTAGAAATGGCAACGATCCATATCCCCATGGTGACGTAGGTGATAGCCTGCGCGGCAAAGAGGAAGCGGTTGAATCTGCGCACAACAGCCGGCAAGGGGTGAGGACGCAGAACAGTGGTAGCACAGTCATCGGCGCCGGTAAGCATGGCCATCAGTTCCCGTGTATTGCGCGTCCAGATCACCCCGTAAGCAACAAAGACAAACACTTCCAACCCCACCCAGCTGGCAAAGAATACCGTCGCGTGGCAAAGGAGGTGGGAGTGCCGTGATACCTGTGGATTTTGGCATACACGAACACGACCAATGCGCCGTTGAGAAGGCGCGCCCAGAGGTCCAGGCCGGTGAACAGGATCGAGGCCTTCGTGAGTAGTACATTGCTTATGTTTGGATTTGAATCTCGGCCATAATCGTGGTCAATCCCACCGAGAACACCCCTCTCCAAACGGATGTTGGTAGTAGCATCCTCGTCGTCATCGCCTGAAACTCCGGCACTGAGGAAGCGTCTCACCAGAACGACCCGGACCGAATGCCGTAGAGATTGTCGCTGCTTGAGCATGTAAGATGCGAACTCGGCGTAGAGAAGAACGGTGTCGAAGAGGGCCGTCGCCTCCCGTTGCTGGTGGAGTGGTTACGTTTGCTTCCATCATCGTTCAAAGAAGCTCGCTGGCTATACACGCCTGGTTGCTTGAAGGTTTTCTCGCATTATTGCTCGATTGTATTGTGTTGCGTTAATGCAATCATGGAGAAGTCGGGGGAGACGTTGAGCTTGGTGAAGAATATGCCGCTTGTCCCCTCTCTGTTCAAGCCCAGCTGAAAGCAATACCGAATAAACCGTAATGTGGCGTGTTAGCTGTGCTAACGCCATTGGAAGAAATACACGACGTGGCTGATTCTGATACAAATGAAATGCAAGATGATAGGAGAGACAGAATATATGAATGATAATTGGATAGTCTGAAGTTTAGTTTCCATTGTTGAAGTCCACATGTGGCATATCATATGTTTCTGCTGCTGTTATCGAAATATCCCAAGACCAAGAAAGCTCCAAGTGTACCACTGCATACAACCCTCGCAAATAACCTAATATTCCTCACCCACAGCGCACTTCATCATGAGTACACCATCTCCCCCCCCTACCCGGGTAAATCTACGCATCACGCTTGCCAAACTTGTAGTATTCAACCTCCGAGTCGGCCGGCTCGGCCTCACGCTTCTTGCCAAACTTGTAGTACTCGACTTCGGGAGCAGCCTCGGCTTCGGCCTCTCGCTTCTCGAACTTGTAGTACTGCACCTCTGCACCAGCTGGCTCGGCTTCCGCCTCACGCTTCCCAAACTTGTAGTACTCGACGGCCGGCTCGGCTTCAGCTTCGGCTTCGCGCTTCTTGCCAAATTTGTAGTACTCAACCTCGGCGGGTTCGGCGCCGGCTTCACGTCTGCCAAACTTGTAGTACTCGATGGCTGCTGGGCCGGCGGTTGGGATGTCTGTGGATAGACTACGTTAGCAACTGATCAAGGCATGTCTCTAGTCACGAGACTTATGAGAGAACTTACTACCGGCAGGAGCAGCGGTGACCACTGCGGCGAGGAGGGTGACGATGGCAGCGAAACGCATGATGGGCTAGATGTATTGGGATAGAGATTTCTTGTTTGCAGGGATAGATTGACAGATAATTTGAGGTTCTACCGTCAAGAAACTCTTGAATATCCGGAGATTGCCAAAGCTGGACAAGAGCCTCGCCATTTATCCTTTTCCTCGCCCCCTTCTTTCTGGCTTTCACCTTCATACGGGATCTGTTCAGCCTTCCATGGCGGCCGCCGTTGCCGATGTCGTGACGCCCCAACGGCTAAACCCAGAAGCATGACCATGCTGCGCCGCTCACATGTATACAGAGCGTGGTATCACATATAACTGAATGGAATCATCACCGCCCGTCAACGCTCCTTCAGTGTCATGCTGCGCTGGTCGATATTTCAACCACTTATATGGAGAACCTTTGCAGACCAGTCACACACCTTCCTTATGCGTATCCCAGCACACGCGTAGTTGGGTATGGCATCGCTAGGTAGCGAATCCTTTAAACTCACGATAGCCTCGTCGAGACCAATCGAACTAGTGGATAATGAGGGTCCGCTACGACACTGCGCCAGCAAAGAGGGGATCACGTCACGTCTGACAACGTCGTTGGCGTGCCGAACGAGAGCTTGGTTACACTACCGTACATGTAACAGTAGTATCCAACAACACCCTTACGGGGTTCAAAGCGGCGAATCATAAGCTTGCAACCTTCCCTTTCGAATTCCGTGTTATAGCTCTGGTCGGGCACCCCGGGTTTAGAATCATGTTGCAGAGAGCTAGGTAGGCAGCCCTTCATGCACATATCACTTGAAAAGGCAGGACGCCGCATCCGAATCTTCCGGTCACAGTGTCCGAAGGCCGAGATGGAAGGTTAGTTCAGGAAAGGAGGAGGAAGAGTAAATAGCATTGAAAGATTGAGTGTGATTTTCCTAGTCTTAGACATCCCCCATCAAAAAGTCCTCAGAGATCGGGTTCCATCTGACAGTCGATCAGAGGATCTCCAAACGAGAGAAGATGAGTTTCAAGAAATCAGTCGTTTACTCTCCACTCTCAACCCGAGAAGACGGCAGCAGCAGTAGGTCGGACGAGGATCGCCGCCTCCTCAGAGAAGATTCAACAGCAAAATGGCAATCTCGCCGCCTCAACCTGCCATCATGCCTCATACTCGCCAACATAGCCCTCTTCATCACATCCACCATCCTTTTTCTCATCTCCGCCTCCCTTTTCTACAAGTCCGGCGGTTTTCGACCTGGCCGAAACGGCCTACTGAAAGCAAGCTCCCACCCCTCACCCATCCTCGACCTCGTCGACATCCCCCTCATCACAAAGCGCATGAACGGCAGTCTCCTCGAACCTTCCGCCAGTTCGGACAGGATCATTTACCGTCAGCCGCCCTCCCCCGAAGTCGACGCAGCATGGGACCGGATCCAGACCCGCGAACCCATCCCCATCACGCGGGAAGACGTCATAAAACTGGGCAAAGACCCGTCCGACGCAGCCAAGTTCCCCACATCCTTCGGAGACGAAGCCTACGTCGGCAAGATCGACGTTTTCCACCAGATCCACTGCCTCAACACGCTGCGCATGAACCTGCGCAACAACTTCGCGTACTACTACGGGGATGAGTTCCCAGGCGACAAACCGACCGACGCATGGCACGACGTTCACGTCGCACACTGCCTCAACATTCTGTTGGAAAATTTGATGTGCGCGGCGAATGTGGACGTGTACACTTCCTTCTGGATGGACGCGCAGCTACAGCCGTTTCCGGACTTCAACATTGATCACAGGTGCCGCGACTTTGACGCTATCCTGGCGTGGCAGGAGGAGCACGCGGTGCCGCTGGAGGAGTTTGCCAAGATACGAAGGCCGGCGGACGCCAAAGTGCATATCATGAGCCACGAGTTTAAAGAGGTGATGCATTGGTATGATGAGAGGCCTGACGATGGGATGCAAGGGGGTGAGACTGCATAAGGGCGGAGAATCAAGCTCTTCTTTATATCAGACAAGCCATTTTATATTTGCTATTAATAGACGGGGAAACTGTTATCCCATGTCACCCAAAGTGAGACAAAAGTGAAAAAACAAAAAGAAGTCCTCAATTTGGTTGATGACCCTGACCCGATTTGAACGGATAACCTTTCGATCTGGAGTCGAACGCGCTACCGTTGCGCCACAAGGCCCACTTTTCTTGTCAGACAAGCTCAGTTAACGATCCTATGTTTTTGTGTCTCCGTTTTAGGGATAGAAAAGTGTCGTGTTCCATTGAGCATGTTGGATTAATGCTGTTCTTTCACTTTTACGTATTCGGACTGATTAAAGATATTTCCAATAGTAGAAAATGTTACTAAGTATCTTAAGGCGTTCTTGCCTCTGATAACTTTCCGCCGCCCAAGGGGAAGAGCAGTAGTCTTGGAGCAGATTCAAGTTGTTCGCTGGGCGACAAGTTCAAGACACAACAAAATTATTCCTACATAAAGAACTTTAACACGTGTTCAAAGCAATTTCAGTTGCCTACAATGTGCATCTCTCAAAGTTGAAGTTTTTTTGAGACTTGTCAGGATATCCACCTTTGCCGTTCTCACTATTGGCCTGGTGGATCATGCATCGAAGTCTGCGGGGTTTCACAATCCACAAACCCGAGTCAGAAACTCCATCAAACAAGCATCTCGACGGCGTGGTGGCAGAGTGGTCTAATGCGCATGACTAGAAATCATGTCTCTTCGGAGGCGTCTGTTCAAATCAGGCCCACGTCGATGGTCTACAGCCTCAGCTGTGTCGTTGGAAACAATGTCATGGTTGTTGATTACTCTTCTTTTGCGGAGTAAGAGTTGAGTTGATGATCTTTGAACTGCAATTATCGGAGGATATGGTTATGGCTGTTTCGTTATCCTTTCCTTTTTTGTGTGTTGTATTATTTGTCCCCAAGGTCCAAGACGAAGCCGTCAGACAGGAGAATGCAGAGCAAGATGCCAGTGATAATAGATGCCTTCTCCCATCTTTGCTGCTGGCTGCCACCACCAGCTTTGCGAGCATGGGACAACGAGCTGCCAAGCCTCAGGTTAAGTTGCTCTATCTTGAACGATAACGGCTCGATGCTTAATCCGGATCGTCAAACGGTTTGTGCTGGACAGTTGGTACGAGTCTGTACGGATTACTGTACCTACTGGAAGCGGAAGTGTGGCTGCCTAAGGCGCTGCAACCGCGCAACCAATAACTGTGGGCGGGCGCGCCTGGAAATGCCTTCACGTCTCAGTTTTCCCCAAAACAAGTTCGACATCAGCTTGCGTGTTCTCTTTCCTCTCAGTCCGCAGCAAGAAACAACAAAACAGCAAACCAAGAAAAAACAATGGCCAGTCAACAGGGAGATTCAGATGCCATTGATAAGAGTGTGATGGAGCGGATTCTCGAACAGTGCTCGCGCCCACTCTCACAAGAGAGGACCGACGAACTTGCTGCCTCTGCCCGTGCATTCCGTGATCAAGTGGTGGAGACAAGACGACGACGCGAGCGGAGAAAGTTCATTGTGTTGGTTTGTATTGGAGTCCTTATTGTTTATTTCCGACGATACTGGTTTTGTGAACATGGATGAGACACTATCCAGCTACGGCGCCAGTGAGTTGTGAGTGGGTGTTGGGCCATATTTGTTCTTCGGGGACAGGTCGCGCAGGATGTTATCGTGTGGATGAATCGGTTCAACGAACGGGACTGGACTTGCTCATACCGCCTTGAGGGACTTGAGCACAATCCTCTGCTGGCTGTCACCAACTCAGCTTCACGCCAAACGCAACCGGGGGTCCTCCGCCGGTTGGTTTCAGGGTAGCATACGTGGAAGTTTCGAGGAAGCCTTTGCAGGAGTACACGTGGGATGGGGGTCGACTCGGAGCAGGCTCATGGTTAGTGTTTCTTGTAAAGTTGGAATGCGTTGCTTCTGGCCGACACCGGTCACGATACAAGCTTTCCAGTGGGTCTCTTCCCGACTCTACGACACACCTTAGCACGAGATGAATGAAGCTTGCCAGTCAACCGTATCTTTAAGCACAGCGACGACGACAAGGTGAATGTCGGCATTGACTCCTGTGATAGCACGGGCAACTCAACCTGCGAGTAGACGAAACCACAGAAGCGACTGCGCTCACCACGGAAACCATTCGAGTTTAATCTGTATCACTGGGACTTCAATACCAACCCAACTATACTCAGTGGATAGTACGTAGGTAGTTTATATCATATATTCTTCAACCCATCGTCCGCAGGGGCCATATATATACAAATCCCGCATACCCGGAGATCGTTCTCGCTACCTCCCTAGGTATCCTCCCAGACACCGACTTACCAAGGTAACTAAATACAGAAAAAATAAAACCAATACTACATACACCGCATTGACAGCCAGCCGGCCACCTCTCGCGGCGCCAACAATGGCATAAGACCAACAAGCAAAGTATTCTTCAAACCGGACCGAGCCCGCCGCCGTGCCACTCGTCAAAAAGCAATGCATGACAGCTGCGCCCCCCACCAAAACAAGAATGTTGAAGTGATAAAAGGTATATCCAAAGAGAGATGTGAAGAGAAGACGTGTCCAAAAAATGAGAGAACTGGTAACACGTATGCTGAAGGCTTTTTTGGGGGTGAAGAAGAAAAAGAATGCTCCGTCTATGAGTGCCGAGCTGATGAAAGAAGAAATATTCGTTTTGTTCGTTAGTTGGGGATTGATCCGATGGATCTCCGCTCCATCCCATGATATGCGTTGCGTTGTAACTCGTGCGTATGGATCGGATGAGATCCGGGCTGAGGCGGGACAAGTCGACAGCGCCCCGGGTCGTAAGTCATCCGGGCCTTGTCGCCCTGACAACTCACAGGTGTGAGCAAAGGCACGACGACCTCACATAAAGCCCCTTAATCCTCATAGTGTATGGCCGCGGGATTGACGACGCGAAAGTCCTCCATTCACCGGACATCGCTGAAGCTTCCGCGCCGTTGCTGTGTCCTCCAACCATCTTCCGCAACGGGGTCCATCGACGGCTTGTTGCTGTTGCTCATCGAAGAGCCGAACCCGGGCATGGATGACCAGCGGTTGAGACGCTTCCGTTCCTTCGTAGCTTCGACTGACGGCGCCGCGGTCGTCGGCGAGGGAAGACTATCGGCCACGGTCTGGTTGCTGCTGCTGCCGCCGCTGTTGTTCGTCCTGCTTGTATTGGACGAGGAACCGGTTGTGTTGGGCGACTGGTAGATGTACTCGCCGTCGACGTAGATGGCGTTGGACACGAAGGTCGAACGGCGGTGGCGGCGGCGGGTGTAGCGCTGCTCGAGCCGGAAGAGCTCGATCTTGGCGTGGATGCGGTCGAGGATGTTGAGCCCCATGATGGTTGAAGTTTTGTTTTGTTGTCAGATCCGAGAATATAGTATATCGATCTCAAGGATGGGGATGGACCGTTGAAGATAAGCAGCTTTTTTGGACGGCGTGCCAGAGGTGTCGACAGGGCTGTTTGCTATTTCGGGTCGAATTGGGTCGGCCAATGCTGCTCAGACGTCGATCTTGGGTATCCTCAGGAGGCGTTCGTGATGGCGGCCAATTGACTGTTGTTTCAAAGTTGGTCGCAGAGGAGATCAGGCTCGGCCGGACAAATGTTTGTATGAGTGCCGCGTGTGTTTGTGATAGGCTGCTGCTCGGACGTTTGCTTCGGGTAGTCGGACTCAATCCAACCAAGAAAAACTAAAATGAGTGAAAAAAAAAATGAGAGAAAGAGTGGACGTTGCAACAGCTTCAGCAAAGGCAAGTTATCACAATGCTCGCTTTCTCGCGCGATGACCCGGGGTATCGTGGGGTTGTGTCTCGGGAGGAGCTTGAGGAGGTTGGGACGAGCGGGATAAAAAGGAGGGAGGTGGTTGAAGAGGAATCGTCGTCGTTGGAAAACGATGTGACTTGAAGACCCAATTGCGGGGGCGACGGCCCATTTCCACTTCTCTGGGAGCATCGAAACAGTGGAGATGCCAGCTTACTTGTCCAGTGCTCACAACTCGCGGATTCTTTCCTCCACTGCTGGACTGGTGCCACTGTTCCATGCTGGGATTTCTCCTTCGCTGTTTTTCTTAGGGCCGCTGTCAACCCTTGTTCGCCGAGACAGTGCCCCTGTCGATGGTTGATAAGCGTGCCGATGGCGCATTGACACCAGTCCAGAAGAAGCGGAAATGCAGGGATCTCGTCTCATGGGGGCCCTGGATGTTCATCCGTGCACTGTTGACTAGCGGTGTTCTAGCATGCGACCAGGACGGCGCTGGACCGCAGTTGGGCAAGTCCAGACGGACGAATGCAAGTGCTAAAGACGCAGGGGAAGCAACCAAAATTGCTCCAAACTTTCTCTTCAAAAAGTTTCTTGTTCAGTTTGTTTGAAATTTTGAGAGGCGAAAAGGCGGGGTTCATGGATTCCATGCGAGACGCACATGGAAAGCGTGGCAGCCGTGGTTTCCACTCTTCAACTGCATCAACTGCGTCTTTTCCACGCCTTCCATCCTCGTTCCTTCTTGTCTTTGATGTGATGGCATTGACATGCGCCACCCCGGTCGTTGACTCTCTGCCCCGTCTGCACCTGGCCGAAACAAGACCCCTCGGTCCCCGATGGACATTTGCCAAATGTTGCACAGCAGAACTGGTGGAAATAAAATAGGAAGCCAACTTCCTTGCTCGATTCTATGTAAAGAAATAAAACGAACGAACGTTGAAGAGCCCCGCTTGACGTTTCATATTGTCCCGGACTTCCATTTATCGATCGTTGGGACACCCCTGCCACCCACGTGTGTCTCCCGCCGCCACCATCCCTCCATCGTTCGTCTCTGCCGCAGCGTTCGACACTGAAAAACAAACAGGCCGTCATTAATTCTCAACCAACACACCCTCCTGAGATCTCTTAAAATTCCCAGCCGTGATTCAAAGGGGCCCAGTTAATGCTAATAGACGGCACGACGATCCGGGGAACTGTCTCGCCAACAGTTTTCTCCCGGGTATTGTTACCGCTTGGATCCCACCCTCCAGGCCCAACAAAGATGATGCTGGGCCGCTGACTGACGCAATTGAAATTCTAACCGAGGATTCCGTGCAAGCCGTGCAATACCTGTCCCCGAGTCCTCCGTCAAGTCCATGAGGCCTGGCCAAAATCTCCGGGACCCTCGGACCTCTTTGCAA